AGAAAATAAAAAAACTTCTTATTCAGATGTGAAGCTGAGATTACAAAAATTGGTTCATGTTTCAGTTTCCGAAATGGCAGACGATTATGCAACAAAAATTTATTTTATTCGCTTAAAATCATCTGCAGACGATTAAGTTTTACATAATTATATGTATCTAACTGGAAACCGCAAAGAAGTGAAAGAAAGGGTTTTCACTGGGTCACCGCAACTCGGAGCCGTTGAAGCTCGCTTCAAAATAAGTTTAAAACTTTTGAAAGGTAAACAATCGTTCGACGGTCAACTTTCTAGAGAAACAGTTCAAAGTGGCGTCATTTTTTTAAATTTAAATCTAATTATTTCTTTAATATATTAACTGATTCTATCAGAAGACAAACTACAATAAAATTAAAGTTGAATTCTTAAAAAATAGTTTAAAACAATGCACAATTGGGAACATTCGTACTGAATCGGGTTTGATCATTCTGCTTACAAAACGCGAATCAAATTCCCAATTTCTAAATATATGTATTTTCAAATTAATTTTTATGTTTATGAAAAAGTTGCAATAAAAAATATTGAAGGTGCAGCGTTGGGAAATATATTTGTATTAAAAGGGAAAGTATGTTTTGTAAACAATTTTAATTCAACACAAAATCATTTCCTGTTGCTCCTTCTCCCCAAACTAACTTCCTGTCGTTTAGCTATGGGTGAGTTACGAAACGTCATTCTGAAAAGTCCCGTAATGAAAGGCCACAAATTCTACGATACTGTCGGAATTACAGGGATAAGCAACAATTTCTTCAATTAAACACTGTTTTACACTTTGAAATATTTACATACATACTTACAGCCGCGGATCCAGCGAGGGGGGGAGGTCATGGCTCCCCCCCCCCAAATTGAAAAAAAATTTGATTTTTTTAATAGTTTTCAAAAGAAATAAAATATTGTAAAAATTATCTAAGGAGGCATATACACACCTAAGTAGGTCGGAAAAATCGATTTTTTTTTTCCATCTAATTATGTTCTTCACTGTTTCAAGAATCACTGTTAAAAGATTTAGAATACTTGAATTAATGTACTGTTCTATTGTTCATTATGAAAAAAATAAATGAGAAGACTGCATTAAAAACCCAAGTTTTTTTTTCTTTTTTAAATACTTTTTTTTAAAAAATTTATAAAAATAATTAATTGTGGGGGGGGTATCAGAGTCTATGACCCCCCCCCCAGGAAAAATTTCTGGATCCACCCCTGCATACTTAAATATTGAGTCATATTGTGGCCCATATTGTATTGAGCCATATCTTTTCAGTTAAGACCATTATATTTTAGAATGTTTGAAATTTTATTCATAAGACGAACACTATTGTTACTTAATTAAAAATTTCCGTTTAAAATATTCTGAAATAATGAGTTACTTTACATAGTTTATTATTTATATTAATTTGTAAATGATAGCAAATGATTAAAAAATAAACAACAGTATGGCCGACTTAAAGTGTGTTTGCATTAATTGAAAACAGTGCTGAAAAGGAGTTGCAATTTTTATTCAGGAAGTTTGAAAAAAAATTTGAATATTTCCGATTGGCTCCTAGCTTATGCAATGTACAAAAATATTTTGATAGTTGAGTGACATGGTGATTTGTCTTTAAAAAAAAGTTAAAAAAGTATTGAATTTGAGATATTTGTGTATCTGTATATGCTCGAATATTCACTTCAAATAAAAAGAGCTTAAGGGTTTTGGGCTATAATTTTTCTTAAATAAAAAACAAAATTTTTACTTTAGAGACGTTATAAAAGAAACTATTTTAGCTAATCGCCTTCCCTCTGATAAGTTTTGTGATTCTTGTGTACTGACACCGAGACTTTTTTGACACAGGTGTTGATACGAAAATCTACTTATTGAATTTTATAATAAAGAATATCACAATTTCTTAAAGTTATTTTCAAGTTAGGTAAATAAAGTTTTAAATAAATATTTAATGCTTCATAGTTTAAATTTAGTGTTTACAATATAAAGTTTAACTTTTTTTCTCTTATAATTTTAGTTTGATCTGCTGGATTAACAAGCTAATCTAACAGGAAGTAACAATTCAATTTTGAGATGAGCTGCGGGACACTGCTAATGGAAGATGACACAATCTGGAAGAAAACTAAAGACCGTAAGTTCGATTCTGCTGAAAACAAAACAACTGATGTGTATATGACACAAGGTGCACTTTAAATCTGTCGCAGCTAAAAGTCCTCTTATTGGTTTTCGTGAAGAAACTTGAAGAAAGACATAAAGCCTGTGTGATTTATCCCTACTGTTTGTGTCATACATACACAATATTAATTGCTGCTGATCATTTTATAAAATCATTCAAACAACATTCAGAGATTCCCTGGTTTTTTACTCGGAAATATAGTTGCAAGTAAACAATATAACTTTCAATTGAAGGAATAAAACTGCATGAAATGGCTGTAAAGTCTCGAAAAAACTTTTTACGTAAAAATAATTTTAGAACGTAAATATTTATTTAAGAGAAAAATATAAAATAGAAAAGAGAAACGTGAATTACCGGTTTTGCACTAAATTTTAGCCACGGATTTGCACGAAATGGAAAAATTATATAAATTAACAAAGAAATCTTTTTAGTAAATAATTTAAGCCACATATTTGCCCGAAATGGATTCGCACATGGAAAAATTTTATAAAATAACAAAGAAATTTATTAGTAAATTATTTTACCCACGGATTTGCCCGAAATGGATTTGCACATGGAAAAATTATATAAATTAACAAAGAAACAATTTTTAGTAGATAATTTTAACCACGGACTTGCCCGAAATGGATTTGCATATGGAAAAATTGCATAAATTAAATTTGTGTATAAATTTGTGTTCTATTTTATTTGTTGCAATTTTTGTAAAAAATTTTTTGAGTGCTCCTCACACTATTGTTTTGATATATTTTGCTTTGGCTATATTGATACAATATCAGAAAGCACTCTTTTTTACAGATATAATCGTGTTGGCTGATGAAAAGATAATATCTTTGATTTTCCGGATTTTTTTAAAAAATTTTTTAATTTTTTTTCCCAAGTTGTTTGTTATTTTTTTATTATTTTTTTTCTTTCCCCCCTTTCTTCATATGTCTGTAATTTGCCTTTGTTTTATCTTCATTTTGAACTTATCTTAAGAGTTCTGTTTACTTGCAGCTTATGCGCAATAAATGAAACTTAATTTTCTTCGTGTTTTTTTGAATTTATTTATTTTGCTGTATATATATATATATATATATATATGTTCTTGTCAATTATTACGAAGAAAAAAAAAACAATTTTATTTCAGGATTTTAAAGAAAAAAATTATTTTTTTAAAGTTAAAATTTCAATTCAGTTTAAATACTAATTTAACTTTATAATAATATACTAGTATGGTTTTTATTAAATAATTTCCGAATATGAATAATGTATGATAATTGTTAAATTACAAATGGTTAGAGTATAATTTGAGATGACTGGAGTTAATAAAATTGATCAGGTTGATTAAATTGGTCCATTTCTAAAAAAATTAGGAATACGTTTTAAAATAAACACCTACAAATGACTAATGATGTAAAATTTATCACAAAATTCATTACATAAACAACAGAAAAAAATATCAATAAAAAATATCAATAAAAGTTTAGCAACTAGAGTATTATTTCTTAATTAAATTGGAAATATTTATTCCAAAAAGTCAACTGGACACAAAATACACTTTGGAATACGAAAATTCGATAATGTAATTTTATTTAGTATTTCTGTATTGCTAAGTAAGTAATGCGTCGAGCAACATAATAAAACTATTGTTTCATGTTTTACTGCTTCACAAAATTACAAGAATTTAAGTTCAAAGTTATATTTCCAAATTAATTTACTACCATGCAAATATCCGTTTTGCTTACTCCAAAAATAAAATACAGCGCTAGATGTACAAAAAGCTAATATTATTTAGCGTCAAAACTGAATGCAAAATAATGTTATGGTGAACGCTAGATAATATTAGTTTGTGTAGAATCTTATGTTACATAATGCATAGAGAATAGCGACCTTTTGTATCTAACGAATGTTAGAAAGTTGCGCAAGATAGCGTTAGATTTCACTGGTTTTCTGATGTTATTTAATATTAGGTGCTACTTAGGAAGTAATATGATTGAGAAAAGTATAGAATATAAAGCTTAAATAGACCTTTCATATTAGATCATTAAATTTAGTAGAGCGATTTCGCAAACATTAAATTTTAACTCTAATAAAAAGATAAGATACCTATTTTTTTTCCCTGTTTATTTACAAAAATTTTGCCGATGTTATGGATGTTCCTTCTCTATAATGAAACGAGATTCCATTTTATTTTCGCTTACATAAGAAGGAGCATCAAGCATTTTTCTTTTGTAAATTTAATAAGTCACAATAAGGAAACATCCCCGAGGAAGATCCGCAGACATGCCATCGCAATTTTGATCTTCTGCAGAGAGGATGGCTCCCCTGCTTTGGTATCCCCACGACCTGCACGTGAAGTCGAACACTTTATGGTAGAACAGTTTAACGAGGACCAATACCACACACCGTCGGTCCCTACGCAGATTGATCCAAGTGGTCACCCACCCACACAGTAACTACAGTCAGTGATGCTTGACTTCGGTAATCTGCTGGGAATCGCGTCTTAACGATCGTGTCTTAACACTGCGGGACAGTTTCTTGCCTTAAAAGTTATTAATCTATTTGAAAATCAAGAGCGAAACTATCGCACCTCCATTTTCAATGACTCTCCTCTCGCTACTGGTGAACGTATGTGAAAAGTTGCATAGGTCGAGAGTTCTGTTCTACGCCATCTGTAATCCATTTTGATCACCAATAGATACAGTTACATTTATTTACCCATGTAGTTATAAGCTTCTGCATCTGGCAACGTACAGTTCTCAAATAAAGATATATTTTTCATCTAGTTTAAATTGTTGAATTTGGTTTTTGTTCATATTATTGTTAAAGCTTATTAATTTTAATTTAGTTTACATTTACAACGTTCAAAAGTTAGCAGGATTTCAATTTTTTGTTTTCTATTTAACAAGCCGATCTTTGTTTATAGTTGGTTTGGATGATTATTACTGTCAGATTATTTTTTATCTTATTTTCTATATATATTTCAATTGTAGTTGAACAATTTAATTGAAATATTAGTTTAAATTTCTTCCTCGTATACTTTTTAGGAAATACTAACTCTTTTTTTTGGAAATATATATTTAAATTGCTGACATATGTTTTTCTAATTATCATTTATTGAAAATACAGATGGGTGTTCAAGGTCTTTGGAATATACTGTCTGAGTTAGCGGAAAGAAAACCTTTGAATTATTTATCGGGTAAACGAATCGCTGTCGATTTAAGCGGCTGGGTGGTTCAAGCAACTCAATGCAAGGGTCTGGCAAATTCAAGAAACCCTCATTTAAGGTTAGTGTGAAATTAGTATGTAATACTGCATGAAAATATTTTTTCTGTCTTGACTTTTCAAAATATTAACTATCAATTTTGTTTTTGTTACCTTCTGAAATACTTGTTTCTTATTTCTTTATAACCCTTCTTTATAATTTTTTTTGCGTTTTATTTTTTTATTTTCTACTTCGTAACTGAAACAAACAAATTTTCGTGTGGTTAGCTTGAAAGTAAAGTGAAAACCTTGCTTTCTGGAATTCAACTAAATAAAGATGCCAATTAACAACTCTTAACTTTTGTTAATAAAAAAGAAGGTAAAAATGAAACAACACGCTAATTTTATTTAAAATTCTTATTTAATCTTATCTCATTTAATTGTAAATCTTATGTGTAAAAAAGCACGAAAATGTTTGCCCGGGGATGGCTACGAGTTATATCTTTCGAGTTGGTGATGCTTTACAGTGTTTTCATTACAGAAAAACAAAATGGGAGAGAATTTGTCACCCTTTCTCAAAAACAGAGTGAGATTTCAAGAAGTTAAGTGAGATTTCTAAAAATTAAAAAAACGCAAATAGACTTTAAAATTTTTTTTTCTCTAATTATAATGCATTTTTAACATCTCCTAATATTTAAAGCATTGAATATTTTTGCTGCATTATCATATGGAAAATGTTCTATATCTACTTTTTCATCAGCTATTATATTTATTTGGCTGAAAAATATCCGGATTTGTTTCGATTTGACCGTTTCTACTGACATTTGTTTAATTTTCATTTGTTCGTTACGGAGTAGAAGATGTCGCCTTAGCAAGGTATTTGTCCATTTTACATTCATGCACAAAAAATTTAAACTTCTTACATGAAAAACCTTACCTACGATGAACACATGATAGCAGAGAAATGTGTTCTGAAAGGGGTTCGGGAGGGGGGTGTTCTGCTGTTCGCGGCGGTTCTGAAAAATACTGGTAAATAGGGAAGCTAGATAACAAGGACCGATGTTCAAAATAATGAAAGATCGAGGAAGAAAAGTGAAACGGATTTTATTCAAAATTTCAGAAGACGAAATATTTTCCAAATTTCGTATATTTTGAAATTGATTAATAGAGTGCGCAAACTTCTTGCGGTAATCATTTTTCAACGCAAAAAAGAAAAAAATATGCGAGATTCTCACAATGTAGTGAAAACACTGCTTTATTCTGTGATTTAAAAAAATTTTTTTTTTTTTAGTTTCTTGCGAGCTGCTGCCCGCAAGACATATGACAGGGAATGAGGCAGAGATTAATATTAAATTAACAGTAATCATAAATAAATGAAGAAACAAGGATTGTGTTTAATGGTAACTTTGGGTATCCGTTTTAAGTTTCTTTACTAGTAATTTTTCTGCTAAACTGTTAGTATGTTTTGCAGAAGAACAAAAATGGCAGAAATATTGAATATTAAGTAGATTTTGATTAAACAGAAAATTTTTCTGTTTCCAGCATTTTCTTCAACTTTGAAATTTAATTTCTCAACCAATTTGTTAGGTGGAAATACAACTGGTGGAATCTTATCTTTAAGCATCATAAAACACTAACCAGTTAAAAACTATTTAATATTATAATTAGTAATTAATATATGGTTTCTAAAAATTCATATTTTTATTTTATTTTATTATAGGAATTTATTCTTCCGCGTATCCAGACTACTTCAGGATGGTGCATTTCCAATTTTTGTGCTTGAAGGTGACATGCCAGCTTTGAAGAAAAATGCTTTTAAAGAACGAAATCATCATAATTCTGATAAGAATAAAAATTCTGATAATATTAGCCGTTCAACATTTGATCGTACCTTGTCACAGGTATCACACACAATCTTTCAGTTTGTACTTGTTTTCTCTTAATATAGCATAGATATTTCAGCTTCTTTAAATATTTTGTTTATCTATTAATCAAAGGTGGCACACTAAGTAGGTAAATATTCGCCTTACTGTACATATACAATATAGTGGAATAATCCATTCTCCATTACCATTATCTTGTCTGCTATCAAAATCTTCTTTTGGTGTACAAAAACATTATTTTTTTTCATTTTAAATTTTAGGATTTTTAGATATGTTTACTACTAATTAAAAAAGGTCCAAAGCTTTTTTTTTTGATGAAATTTAATAAAAGGAAGTTTATCCAAACTTATTTCAATGCATGAAAGAATTTTTAAACAAATTTACTTTTTTTTTTTATTAATTAGTAATGGAGAATTAATGAATTATGAAATTTTTAAAAATGGTATATTAATATTTTTTTTAAAAAAATAGTTTGGCTAATAGAGAAAATTATTTCTAAAAATAAGTTTGAATTTACAATATTAATTTGTAAATTTTTTTTACATCTCTGCATGGAGATGAAATTTTGTCTTCATATATTTAATTTTGCAAATACTATTTTAAAGTTCTGATAGAGTTGGTGGAAATTCATGATCAAACCTTATTCAAGTAAAAAGGTTTGTTTTTTCATAAAAATTAAAAGAAGGTAAAATAGTTAAATTAGTCTTTATTTCTTTGTACAATTTCAAAGATATTAATAAAAAAATAATTTAAGTTGTTTGTAATAATCAGTTTTGTATGTATGACAGATTCTGATGTATCCTATTTCAGGAGAATATTTGAGAGAGAGTGTTGTTCAAATTTANAAAAAAAAAAAAAAAAAAAAAAAAAAAAAAAAAAAAAAAAAAAAAAAAAAAAAAAAAAGTGAATAGAAATATTGAATTGATATTTTTAAATAACATAATATAATTTATTTTTGTTAATGAAATAAAATTTTCAGATTATTTATTTCAACAAGATTTAATTGGTGCTTCTTAATTATGAATTAGTAAAAATATAAACAAAGTTGGTCTTGTGAGTTAAAGAGTTTAACATTTCAAATAACTACCATTACCAGTGGTAGTTATTTGAAATGTTGAACCATAGGTCTTCTGCCACCAATGATATATGATTTATGCCAATCCCCTTCCATCTGTATATTCTTTTCCTTAATTCTAAATTTATAATTTTTTTGAATATTATTTTAATAAGATATTCTTTTATTTGGCAACTGGACCAAAAATGTATTATTAAACTTATTTGCTCTAGTTGAAAATATATTTATATTTTATATAGCATTTTCAGTAGCATTACATTTATTAAATATATTTATATAGCATTATATTTCCATCATATTTTATCTGATATTTTTTATGTGAAGCACTATCTACCTTTATTATCCTAAACTGTGATGAATAAGTATTTCCTTAAAATTCCTTTGTATTAAAATTTTAGATATCAATATATTGTATCTAAATCAATTATCTCTATCCAACTATTAATATTCATCATTATTTCATATAAGAAATTTGTAAAAAATCAAATTAAAATTTTTAGTTTAAAAATCAATGGAAAAAAAAACTAAGCTATTATGTCATTAGATTTAAATTAATATACTTAGTTAGGAAAAATTAGGAAAGTTTTCTAATTATTCTAAAATTTTAAGACATTTTGGTACTTTTTATTTTATTTATTCATATTAAACTATTAACAAATTCAAAATAAACTTTAATATACATTTTTAATGCTTCTTTCTCATTGTATTTTTTATGAATAAATATGCTCTAATACAGCACCAGTATTTGACATAGAATAGTTTATTTGCTTTGTGACTTTGGTTTTAACTTTTGTCCTCTTTAACATTATATATGTTCCAGAGTTTTCCCTAGGAATGAAACCAGGCAGGTGCTTCCTCTCAGAAAAGACGCTTTGAATTTTGAAAAGGACACTCACTTAACACCGTGAAAATTTATCAAAATATATAATATCATGTAATCACTGAATTTCATGCTCACCAATTTTTAAGTTATCGTCTTATACACTATGTTACGTTATACTTTACGTTATACGTCTCATATGTTATTTTTTATGTGTATATTTTAAAGTTTTCACCCATGTAAATAAGAGAAAAATTTATAGTTTATAAATAACAGTTAAAGGTTTTCTAAGAGACAAACAATCTCTGTGCATAATTTTTTTTAAAAAAAAGAAAAATGTAAACAAAAATTTTTTTTATTTATAATAAACAGCTTAAAAGTTTTTTTTATAATTTATACTGAAATGTATTAGAAAACAGACAATTAAAGGTGCATTTTAATAAAAAGGTATTAAATTAAAAATAATTTTGAAATTTAAAATCAGTTTAAAAAAACATTAATATACCCCATTGAAAAAGAGAAACTTATAAAAACTTAACCAGTTTAGAATAATCCTAACAAAATAAATATTTGCAATAGTAATCAGAATTAAACCTATAAACACAGATAATTTTTTTGTGCAATTATTATTTTAACAGTTAATTAAATCTTCTTAAAAATGGAATATGAATAAAAATTCAATGTTTTTAAGAGATTTGGATTTATTTTTACAAAGAGGGCACATTTATAGGGATCAAATGGCAGGCAGGAGAGCCACCCTTTTAAAAACATTTCAAAAGAACATTGATATATTCTTATCATCCCATATTTTCACAGGTGTAATTTTAAAATCAATACCTGTTTGATAGCAGTGCTTTTCTCATATAGTGCAATACAACTTGCTGGCATAAACTAACAATAGGATATATCTTTTATTTGAGTGTAGTGCACTAACTATCTGATGTGATTATTTTATTTTTTCTTAGCATTGTTGTTAATATCTAAAACCAAAAGCAAGGATGACTCAATAGGTACAAAATTAAGTAATAAATGGTTATCTCGGATAGTACAGTGAAATAAATACTGGTATGATATGTAAAAGAAAATCTCTTATTTATTCAGAATTGTCTGATGAGAGTATTTGTTTTTGGGATCTATTTTTTTCTCAAAAAGCTACTCTATAAATAAAAGTTATTTCAATGTATCAATCATAATAAATTAATAAATATCCATATTATTAATTATATTTTAATGTGTGTATTTACAGTGTTATTATGATAGATACAATGTATCAACTAGTTAAATGACCTGCTTACTCAAATAATTGATGTTGGAATACTAGTATTTATTTATGTGTTGCTGTAAAGGCTCAATTGGGGCTGTATTTCTTTTGTATATTTCATTTGTGTTGTATATATTTGTTTTATTTAATGGTACATTTTACTGTCACACTTAATTTTAATAGTGTAGAGATTTATTGCAAATTCTGGGAGTGCCTTGCTTGAAGAGCTGTGGAGAAGCAGAAGCATTTTGTGCCTTTCTTTGCTTGCAAGGGGTAAATGATCTTTTTATTAAAAATATACTTTTGTTGTTTTAGTTAAATTAATGTTTTTATGTACAAGGTGTCTCATAACTAATGACGTGTGTTAAGGGAAGATAGGACATAGCTAGACAAGCATACATCACTATACAATGCATATCCGAATGCAAGTCATAACACGCTAGAGGGCGCCTACCTGCTCATTTGCTCTGTGGATCATCGATAAGATGTATGCATTCGCAAATCAGGATAAGGCTGAGATACGTTACATGTACAGAGCTGCAGATGACAATGCAAGGGCAATTCAACGATTTTGCCTATAGCATTTTCCTAATAGATTCTTCCCTGATAAGAAAGGGGTTCTTTTTCAAGTTGTATGCTGGATGACGGAGGTGCCAGGAGTGCAATAACGCCGTCCGTAAAGGACAACATTGTGCATCACATCAGGGTGAGGTCTGTTTCATATTAGGTTCGTGAAAGGATGAAAAAGTCGTGATTATGCAATAACCACAATATAATTTGAAATAAATACTGTCTGATGTGGCCAAAGGGTAGGCTGTATAGGAAAGTAGAAATTTCCTTTTCTTAAGAAGAAATTTCCTTTTCTTAAAAATTTTCTTATATTTAGAGGATAATGCTAGTATTATGTATGTAAAGTAGTGCACCTTCGCAACAACTGGTTGTTGGCTAAAGAGTTTCTGAAACTTACAGCTTCACTTTTAAAAAGTCAATGATGTTGGAATGCGAACCTGGTGAGTATTGTGCACTATCTGCCTTTACTTTATTGGCTGGCTGGTACCCATTGATCTGGAGCTGAATAGGTTTTAAGCAACTGCTGGTATTAATTACATATTGTTTCTGGAATGTAGTTTTGTCTTGTATGATCTCCTCCTTCCTATAATAAAGGATGACTCCACTTATTTTACTTGAGATGTAAAAGTCAAATATTAATTTGTTTATTTTAGAAAAGAATATGAATTTGTCTTTACCTTTCACTTTAAAAACTATGAATTTTATGCAATTTAAAGTTTATCCTATTAAGCTGTTGGCTTCAATCTTAATTTGAGGTAACATGGAGATGCGTTTGTGTGAAATATTCCTGTTTTCTCCAAGAGTTTCAATAAAGAGACAATGTTTGGTGGAACTTTTAATTTTTAGATTACACTATTTTAAGTGCATTGTTGTTTTTATTTTTTTTCCTTTTGCTTCTTTTTCTTCAGCATAAATACTTTTTAAATGTATTTTAATTTTTATGTGTATTATCATTTTTAAATGTATATTAGGACTTTTTGACCAATATATTTTTATTTTCTACTTCGCTTAATTCCCTGTGTTACACAAAACCTCTCCTAATGCAATCTCTTTTTTTCTAAAAAAGGAGGGACTACATTTATACAAAAAGGGCACGGAGGGTGCGTTTACCTCTGTGAAAAGGCAGGCAGGGTGGGCCAGCTTTCCACAAACTCTTCGGGAGGGAGAGGACGGTATATATATATTTCCGAACATAGGTTTTAAAAATTGCTATGTACTACATTCGTTTATGTTTGCAAAAAATTGTTGTAATTTTTTTTTAAATTCAATAAAAATTTATACCTGTAATATGTATGTAATATAAGATATATATAAGCATTACATATCTGATAGTTCATTGAGGAAAGGAGTTTAATTCAAATATATTCTATTACTTCTGCAGATAGTGGATGGAGTTATCACTGAAGACAGTGATGCCTTTTTGTATGGTGCTGATTCAGTTTTTCGAGAATTCACAATTGATCCTACCGTAAGAAAAACTTATATTGTAAATTTTTTTTTCAGTAAAAGAAATTTATTATTATATTCCTAAACTGCATTAGCACTTAATATATCCAGTTTGTTGGAGGAGAATAGTAGAAAATAAAAGGATGTATCTCAATGAGTGATATAATCGAGATGTAAAAGAAAATATATCAAACTACATTCCGATTAGGACAACTGTATTAATGAAATCAACTTTAAACTATTTTAATTTTGTTGTTACTTAATGTTACTGCTCTTCTTTCTTATTCTATTTATTATTGTTTGTACATGGAAGTACAGTGCCCGCCGCTAATAAAATCACCGGATAATAAAATCAGCCGCTTTATAAAATCAAATCGGCAAGAACCGAATCGTTACAATATTAGTACAAGTTAAAAACATCCTTTAATAAAATCAATGCCGCCGCTTTTTAAAATCAAAATTTTGACTACATAATAAATCAAAGGTGCAATATTTCAGCTTTTTTTGTTCTTATTTATAAAATTTTATTTTTTCGAAGTTTAAAGATTTTTTTAGAAGAAGCAACAGTTACTCACAAACCTGTGAAACAGGTGTGGTTAGCACTTTCCTGCGATATACATAGTGTAAGAGTTAAGGAAAAATGTGGGTGGTAAGCGGCGAGTTCATAGAAATCAATTTATCAATGTTAATTCCTTGACTTGAATGAAGTTTGGAGAAACCTATCTCACTCAACAGGGGGTCGAATTCTTATCTTACTTTTTATTGAATGAACCATAGAAGGGAGAGAAGTTTCTTTTGTTATCTATCTTAACAGAGAACATGAATAGATTTCCAAAAAACTGTCTGTGCACATGTTCCATATTATTTAAGCCGTTTGAGTAAATTGTAGTTAGAGCACATATCATTTTTAAGTTCGTCTGGTGCTAAATTTTATCAGCATGCCGAAAAGGAAAGATTTGAGTCTTAAAGATAAATCCAAAGTGTTGCAAAACTATGATACGCTTCCTAAATGTAGTCAACGTGAAACTTCAATGGAGATGGGGCTAATAACTGTTTCGAAGAAATGATAAGCAATGAAGAAAATGAAACGGACAAGAATTTTTCACGTTACGTAGCTATTGACGATAACTTGCAAACATCAGGAGAAAAATCTGAGTCTGAAATTGTTACAGACATCAAAAATTGCAAAGTTATTTCCAATCAAGAAATGGAGGAATCAGACTCAGAAGATGAAATAAACTCATCAGTGGAAGTCAGAAAAGCACTTAATGTATTGCGGCAAGCTTTAGAACAAAGAGGAGGAATATCGAAAACTATAAAAACTTCTATTAACTCTCAAATGATGTTGAAAAGTTAATTTTAAATACTGCAACTCAAGCAACCATTGATCGTTTTTTTGCAAAACTTTTGTAAATTTAATCTTATGTAGGGTTTTACTTTATTAAAATAATTAAATTAGTTAAAATGAAGCATTAATGTGGTCATTATTTCAGCTTTTAAAGTTGTGCATAAAAATTTGTTTTTTTCCTTCAAATGTTGAATCGCCTCTTAATAAAATCAGCCGCTTAATAAAATCAAAAGAGCATCAAACGAAAGTGATTTTAATAAGCGGCGGGCACTGTAATCACAAATTCTTCTTTCTATCTCTATTGATACCTCTAAAGGTGCACAAACTCAAGTTCAAGTCTTATGGTAAGAATAAAATTTTTCATTGCAAATTTCAATGAATTTATAGAATTTGCTCACCAATTTTTGCTCTTTTAGAAAAAAGATTCATTATTTGAAGATTCTAAAAATATTCATATAATTTCTCATAATTCTTAGGAATAGAAAATTGTTTTCCTAAAATTCTAAATTTTTTTTATTGAACTGTAATAAATAAAAAGCAATGTAACTAAATGCATGATGTAGCAAGGAGGCTTCTATTTAACATGATCAAATTTGGTTCTTATATTTTTAACTCCTTTGAAATCGCTCTCCCTCTATTCTTAGCATGAGGATGACCATATTCAAGTAAATATTTTAAAAAAAGCACTTGTGTGTACTTAAAATTCAGTTGAGTTCCAATTATAATTTTTAATTACATGTACTGTAACACTAATAGGATCCTCATGTGAACCTGTACAGTCTCAGCTCAGCAAAGAACAAATTGATACTTAGCCGAAGAAATTTAATTGGTTTAGCTTTATTGCTAGGATGTGACTATGTGAAGGGAGTACCAGGAATTGGGAAAGACAGTGCTTTAAAACTGCTGCATGAACTCCAAGATTGTGACCTTCTTAAAAGGTAAAATTATTAATTATAATTTCTTTTTGCTGATAAACATTTTTTTGAATAACATTTGTAATCATTAGATTATAACAAAAAAATGTTTTTTTTTTTTAATAATTATGTTTCTATTTTTTTTCTTCAAAAACCAAAAAAGAAGAATCATTTCACAACTAGCAAATTTATCAAACTCTTAACTCATAAAATTTATTTATTTATTATTATTATTTTAAATCTGAAATCAGTTTGGAGCTTGCGTGTTTGACGAGATTTTAATCTCAAATAAAATTTCAGACTTAGCTGAATTCCAAGATATGTTTGAAATTCTGAAAATAAGAATGCTTCCAAGTTCAAATATATTTTCGGACTTTTTTGAATTCTTGCACAAACCAATCTTTATATTCAACAAAGTTTGAATATTTTTTCAAACTTGTCAAATTCCAAGATCAGTTTATGTATGATGGTATTTTGCAACAGTCCTCAGAGACTATATAAAGAACTCAGATTTTTAAATCCACACTCGTCGGGTGATTTTCCATTGATCGGCAGATCATGCGTATTTTGCTAAACTTTGACAACAAATTTCAGAGAGTGTTTTTAAAAGAAAAAGTAGTTTTGTTCAACTGTACAATCACCACCAGTGTCCTGCAGGTCAACTTTTAGGGGAAAAAAAGAATTCCATATTTAGAAAAGATTCCTATTTGAATCCTGGACAAAGGGCCCTACAAAGCAATATAGTGCATGCAGTTTGTCAGCAGACACGCCCAATGCTATCCAAAAGACTTTCAGAGTTTGATCCTATAGATAGAATGGCAGACGTTTTGGAAACTTTGCAAGGTTATGTTTTATGTCCGGACTCAACAAGTTTGACTTGCTAGGCATGAAGAAAAATTTGCAGAAGATGCTGTCTAAAAGTGCGATGGCGGCGAGCAGAAATGAACGCTTGGACTATTTACGGCAGGCTAAAAGAGTAATTGGTATGGAAAGTTTGGATTTTTATGATTATTTGTGATGTATATATGTATTGTTTTGTAAATAATTTATCATGCCATTTTATTTTGTAAATTGCCTTAAATAATGATTGTTTTACGTTGAACTGTTGGGAAATTTGCCTTTTATGTTTCTAGTTTTGAAATTTAGCTAATACCTAAGACTAAAATTTAACTAAAATTAATATTAGAAAGCATGCCGATATCATTGAGGATGGTTTGGTAAAATGTATTTGACACTCCTATTGTATTTGTCACTTTGATTTTATATTTTAAACGATGTAATGTAATGTATTTTATAACTTTAAATTAGTTTCATTCTCAGACTCAAACTGTTTCAACCTACAACTCCTGTAACTTGGATTCCATTGTAGTTGGAAAAAGTTTTCAAACTTGTTGAATTCTCCAAAATTCAAACCTATCTTCGAATTCGACCAAGCTTGAAATAAAATATTAGAATTTAGACTGTCATCATTCCAAATTTTTGTCATTTCTGATTCCTCCAAAATTATTTCAGATTTGAAAATATTTTTCTAAAATTTTATTTCGAGATTGAGATTTTAGATTTAAAATCTGAAAGAGTCACAAAACCGAATTTTGAAAAATATTTTCTTTTTCAAATTTGGTATTTTGCTCATGGTGCGGTCTTTGTTTATTCGGTATAAAAAGGAATCACCTTCCCACACCACACTATCACTCTGAATTTGTACATCGATGTCTAAATCTGTCAGTTGGGATCTGAGTTTTAAATTCAAATGAGATTCAAATTATGAAAAAAAAAAGGAGAAACAGTTTGGAAAGGTTGTAGTTGGTGATTTATATTTTTAGATTTATTTGTCATTAGTATTTATTTGTCACATGTTTTTCTTGGCTAAATCAAAACTTCATATCAACTTTCACTCAGCAGTTTTTGTATATCTGGGGGATGAAATTTAGCTTTTTGGAAGGTTTTTAATTTTATTCAATGTCTAAATCTGTCAGTTGGAGTCTGAGTTTAGAACCTGGGTTTCTAGTTGGGGTTTGAGTTTCAAATTCAAATGAGATTCAAATTGTAAAGAAAAAAAACAGTTTGGAAAGGTTGTAGTTGGCGATTTATTTGTCATTAGTATTTATTTGTCAGATGTTTTTCTTGGCTAAATCAAAACTTCATATCAACTTTCACTCAGCGGTTTTTGTATGTCTGGGGGATGAAATTTAGCTTTTTGTTAGGTTTTTAATTTTTATTCAATGTCAAACAAAATGTATTTGACCTTTGACCTTGACTTGGTTTTATTCCCCTCCTTTTTTCAAAATAGTATAAATTGTATTCATTGCCTGTGAATTTCTTGGTAAACAGTTTATTGTTATTGTTTCAAGATCTACAAGAAAATCAAACTTGTATCCTGACTCTCACACATGGTTTTCGCCGATTTTTAAGTTGACATTTAAGATGTTTTTTTTTTTTTTTTTTTTTTTTTTNTTTTTTTTTTTTTTTTTTTTTTTTTTTTTTTTTTTTTTTTTTTTTTTTTTTTTGGATTTTGTTTGATGTCAAACACTGAATGTCTAACAAACTGCAGCACTTGTTGTCGAGCGCCTTCATGTCACATGCCGGTTTGAGAATTCAATGAATCTTTCCAGTGTTTTCATCGCAGAAAAAAAATGGGTGAGAATTTCTCACCCTTTCTCAAAAACAGGGTGAGATTTCAAAAAGTTAAGTGAGATTTCTAAAAATAAAAAAATAAAAAGCACAAAGAGACTTGAAAAAAAATCTTTTCTTTAATTATAATACATTTTTAACATCTTCTAATTTATAAGGATTGAATATTTTTGCTGCATCATCATATGCAAAATGTTCTACATCTACTTTTTCATCAGCTATTCTCATTAGGTTGCTCAAATGAGTGTTGGTTTCGTTTTGATCGTTTCTACCCACGTTTGTTTCATTTTCATTTGTCCGTTTCGGAGTAGAAGATATTGCCTTTACAAGGTATTTGTCCATCTTGCATTAATGGGCAAAAAATTTGAACTTCTTACATGAAGAAACCTTAACTACGGTAAACACATGGTTGCAGAGAAATGCGTTCTGAAAGAGGTTTCGTGGTTCGGAGGGATGGTGTTCTGTTGTTCTTAAAGGTTCTGAACAATACTGGTAAATAGGGAAGCTAGATAATGGGCAGATGTTGAAAATAATGAAAGATCCAGGAAGAAAAATGTAACGGATTTTATTCTAAATGGTGCAATGGGAAATTTTTTTCAAAATGCGAGAAATTCGCGAATTTTGAAATTGGTTTATAGAATGCGCGAATTTCTCGCGGTAATAATTTTTTAATGCGAGAAAAGAAAAAAATATGCGAGATTCTCACGTTCTCGTACTGTAGTGAAAACACTGCTTTCAAATATTAAACCGTGAAAATACTTTAATAAAATGATTTCTTTAAAACCTCATAATATTTGTAAACATTTTTTACCCACTGTAGCATCTAATTATCAATAATTAGCTCGTTTAATTGATTTTAAATTCTTTTGCTAGTTTTTTAATAATTCCTCTTGATTCTATTCATTCCACAAAACTATATTTATCTATTTGCACTACCAACATAATACACATTATTTTAGTCAAAGTATGGGCTCTGATTTTTAAACTAAGTCATTCTGCTTATGATAAAAAGATGGATAAATCAACTAAAATGCCATTTATTTTATCAAACCAAAGCACCCATTTTCTCCAATTAATCAAAATGTTTATTTGTTGCTCACATAAAATTGTCAATTAGATGTAGGTATGCAGCACAAAGCCTGGTGTCAAGCTGAATTATAACACTTATTTTCTGTCACTGCAACGGAATAAATAAGTTGTGTTCATGTAAAATTAATAAAGAAAAAGAAAGAGAAAATAAAAACACCTTAAAATTGAATTTGGTAAACATAAGCATTCAAATTAAACAGATTCAGAAAATCAAAGTTTTATTGTGCTTTTTTTAAAAAATAAATTTTTTAATGTATTCTAATGCAGAGTCGAAGTATAGTAGTAATTCAATACACTAGGACATGGAGAATTTCATGAAATATGTGCATATTGCTGATTGATTCCTAGGTTGATGGAAGTCATTCATCAGTATACATGATATCTCTTTAGGAATAGAATCATCAAAATATATCAATTGTTATAAGTAACTTATTAAATACCACTGATTTGTTAATGATTTTTCTAAATCTTCACAGTATAAATTACTCAAGGTTTGATAGTGTTTGGTTTCATTTATAATTATGTTTTCTTTTTCATTATTATTGTAAAATTATGTTTTCTTTTTCATTATTGCTACAAAAAACACAAATTTATTTTGATGAGGTGATTTATTGTTTCTTTCAGATTTGAAGAATGGAAAGAAAAATCAGAATCTGAACTATTTCCAGGATATAATGCGAGTCTAAAGAAATGTAGTCACTGCACTCGCTGTGATCATCTTGGTAAAAATCTATTGCTTCTTACGTATTAAATCTTAAAAAGATTATAAAAAATGTGTTTAAGCAGTTTATCATTTAAACAAATAATATGTTTTCAAATTAGGTAATGTTGACCAATCTCCTTTTCTAATACTTAAATTTGTGAATACTTCAAACACTTTTAACATATAATTTTAATCAATTCTTTTAACCTATAGTTTTTCTGTATTTTTTAAGCATAGGAAATAGTTATATAGCTGCTCCAATTTTTCTGAATTAAAAATCTTTTTATAATTAACTAGCAATTAGCTTAATTTCTTGGAAAAAATGCAAAAATGTTTACATTTTTAAATCTAAAATACATGTTTCGTTTTTTCAGAATTTACTGTAATGTACAGTTTTAATTCACATACTTTAACTTAAACATATGTAGTGCTTTAGCTACCATATTTCGGATTATGCTAGCTGATTCAATTTATAAGTGCACCTCCCATTTTTCTCTTCAAAATGAGAGATTTTGTATTCACTGTATAAGTTAAATTCTGAATTAACTATTATTAAAAAAAATCTAACCTATTACAAAACTGTTATCCAAATATAAGCAAAAATTAATTAATAATACTTTAGTATTATTAATTAATTTGTGATAAAAGATTTTTTCAACATCTTTTTATTATAATTTATAGATAAAAAACTTGTAACCCGGTTGTCAAGTGGTAGTGATTCACACTCCTGTTCCACATTGTGTCAGAATTTTTTCAATCTTCCTATGACAATTTTACCTAACAAATACTTTTTTGAAAGACCTTTTTAATAGTAACAAATATATTACTATTTTAACAATATAGGATTATGATTATTATATAGTATCAGAGATATATTCATGTATAAAATAAAACTATGTAATTTTTTTTAATTCTTAATGTAAGAATTTTTTTATTAATTAAAGGAATACATATTTTAATATTATTGGTGATATTCTCCCATTCATCCATGGCAATGACTACCGAAAAATGATTGGCATTGAAGGCATGCAAATCGGATTCTTCAAAAAGGGGATGCTCAAATGCAGTCTTTGTTTAGAGATTCGTTTGTAATAAATAATATAGTTCTTAAAATAAAATATATTATTTTAAGAGCTTTGGGGAAAACAATAGTAATAAATGATGAAAAATCGATCAAATAAATGATAAAATCATTCCAGTGAAAGGTAAATACTCTAATTAGCGATAGGAATTTCTCATGTAAAATTTTTCAGAATCTAAGAAAATATGTCTAAAATATATCAGGATTATTCAAAACCATGTATAACTTAAAACAATAGTTGTCAAAAAACAATCGAAACAACACATGGATTTACCATGCAAGGGGCAAAAATTGAGCTTGTTCTTCCCTTCAGTGGGTCGATAAAATTTGTATCAAGCATTCTTTGGAAATAAACACTAAGCCTGACTTCAAAACCTAAAGTCAAGAAAACTCGAATTGACAATGTAAAACATGGCTTTCATTCATGGGCTGTTGTGCCTCTGAGTTTAGTTTTTTTTAGTTTAAATAAAATACTCATTTTGAAGAGCATGTGTCAAGTTTTGCTCTTTCTGTCTGAAATAATGATGCTCAGTCTTCAAAAGTGTTTTGATTGTGTTGAATTCCTATATTTGGTGAATTTGAAAAATTTAACCCTGTTTTTAAAAGATTGACTTTCTGTATCAAATCATTCAGGGTGGGTGCATGAAAAAATGCTAATATATTATTTAAATCTTTTGAAAAATTTGGTGTTTCCAATTAATTAGATGATACCAAAAATTATAATCTATGTGGGAATCAGGCGAGAAAGATGAAGTAGAATCCCTTGAAGAAATTAAATCTCACCAGGATAGGTAAAGTGTATGATGTAAATTGATGTTTTATTATTATATACAGTTTATTTTGTGATAATTATGTTGTTTTTTTTATGTTTGAGTTTATGGTAGTGATTAGGTTTAATTTTCTGTGAGAATCAGTTTTTGTAAGAAAAAAAAATCTTTGTGCTAAAAAGTGTTAGTGGTATCTAAATTAAACCCTAGTTTTTATAACATTAAAAAAATGTACAATGCTCCAAAAAAAAGGACTTTTGAATTAATAATCGGAGCTTTACTTCCTAATCTTAATGGCTCGAGGGGGTGCCCTCAAATATGCTAATTAATAAGTGCGGATGATATTTTAAGTTATGAAATCAGACACTAAATGTACTTTCCAAAATGTCAGATTTTTCATATTTATTTTTGATGATATTTTGAGCCATTCGACCAATTTTGCCATGTAAAATTATATTCTTTAAAATGTTGCAAAAATGTGTATACCTTACTATTCAACATTTTTCGACTATGATCAAATGAAATAATAAATATTTACTAAAAATTACTTTATCTATGGAATATTCTTTGGATAAATAAATTTTATAATTGTGTGCAAAATTTTTCAATTTGCTTAAAAAGTTCTCAAGATAAAATGAAATATGCGAAAAGTAAAATCTTAAAAAGTTCTTGAGATATAGCGAAATACGCCAAAAGTCCAAACTTTGAAATGCTCTCCTAACCAAACTATTTGAACTAAATTTTGCAGTTTGTGATTACTCCCTTTATTCTGGGGGTCAGAAATCGTAATCCATTGCAAAAAATGTATGTTTATTCAGAGAAACACTTTTTTGTGTCTGATTTTATAACTTAAAATATCGTCTGCACTTATTAATTAGCATATTTGAGGTCACCCCTTTGAGCCATTTAGATTGAGTTCTAGAAGTTAAAGATTCAATGAGGTTCAAAAGTTATTCAGGGTGTTCCTTTTTTTTTGGAACTCTTTAAATATTTAGTATAAGAAATTTACACTGCACTTTAAACTACAATAAATATAACTTTCAATAAACTTCAAAATGACAAAATATTTAAACTCTTCCAAATTTTTTTTAAAGAAATTTTTCTTTTTTTTTTCTCACTGTGTTTTTCACTGTCTCATTATGTTCGTCTCTGTCATAGGTACCCAGAAAGAACACAAGAAAAATGGATGTAAGATTTGTGACAGTAAAATAACTTGTTATTTAGCAAATAAAAATAATCCATGTGTGTGTGATTGGCATAAAAGTGAAGAAGTTTTGCTCAAAAGGAAAACTGAAATCAAAATCTACAATGCCGTGAAAAATATTCCCGATTTTCCTAGTACAGAGGTATTGTTATGCTAATATTTCTGTTTCATAATTTTCAATCTCCTAAGATATTATTTACTTTTGATCAAAGGTCTATAGATTATGGTTGCCACTGTGCCTTAAAGAATTGTGGCTGTGATGTAAACAGGGCAGATTGTGCTCCCTAAAAATTCCGAATTTCCAGAATTTTCGCTAACAGTGATCCGGAAGTTTCCGAAAATCAAATTTTCAAAGGTGGAACTTAAAAACACTGTTTATTTTATTTGTTTGTAAGGGAGAGCCAGAGATATACTTTATAAGCTTATATTTATGATTAATATTCATTTTTATCAGTAAATAGTTGTTATAATCATAAACTCCAGAAAGAAAGACATATTTGTAAATTTTAATCACTTCTCCAGATCATCATAGGTATGTGTTAAATGGTATAAGTATGTGCAAAATTTTAAGTAAACTAAGAAATATTGAGAAAAAGGAAAAAAACCTTGTTTACATTTTTTCAATTTTAATTTTTTTTTTAACTCCAGAAATTTTCAGGAATTTTGACTTGAGTTCACAATCACCCCTGTGTAATCAATAGTAGCTATAATTTAAAATTGTAGCAAAATAACATCTAACCTGATATTTGTTGTTTGCCTTAAAGCCTTGTTTGAAAATTATGCTAGTGTACAATGTTATTTTGAGACGTGATAGCACAGTACTTAAGGTGTATTACGCTTGACAGTTTAGAGCCTAGCCTGCCTCAGATCCAGGCGTAACAGCTTATCTGGGAAGAAAAAATGCTGGTATGCAATATCAACTACATTAATCTTGCTGTTGGTCTCAAAATTATGAAACTTTTACCTTCATGACCCCTTTCTATGAATAACTGGCTTTTGCCTGAATGCTGTACTTAACTTGATATGATTTTAGCATGCATAATTATCTGCATTAAAATTGTACATATAAAACTTTATTTACATTTAGATAGTATTAAATTAAAAATTAATTGGACTTGATTAAATTCAAGAAAGTAAAAAGCTGTTATTCTACTTTAGATTCGGAAACATGTTCTCATTTAAGGCTCCTAGAAAATTTGAAATGTTTAAGACCCTGCATTCAACTTTTTTTCTTTCGATACTTTTTATATTTAATGCTAATTACTGCTGTGGATTTCCTGCATGACATTACAATTAACTTTTTCCCTCAATATATGTATTATTTATTTTATATTGAACATTTTCAAAAACATTGAAATACAGACAAATACATTACAAATGTCAAATACATTAAAATACAGAGTACTTTTATTTCTTAAATTCTGAGTTCCTATGCATTAAAATTAATAAATAAATAAATACATACTTAACTAAATACATAATTGGACTGTTGTTGCACCTTTTTAATTTGAGGATTGTACTCTGATATTTTTTTGGAAGAGAATATTTTCACATTTTGTCACAGTTTGCACAGTTTGTCACAGTCCATTAGCACTTTCAACAGCTGTAACTGCCATTTTCACATCACTCCAGTTTTTTTTTCTTCCCAGGGTAAATGACAATACTACCCCTTTTTTTCATATATGATTGATTAATTAACAAATAAATGCATTAATACACTTTTTAACTTATGATGATCAATTTTTTATTAATAAAAATCTTAAAAACAGGTATAGCTGTCAATTACCTACATATCATCAAAGATTGTATGACAACAGCTGTTATTTGTGGCAACATGTTAAATAAAAGTCATATTTGATTTATTGTGAGTTTCTGTTTTGTAATTATCTACGTTTTCATAAAAGGAATAAAAATTTATTTTTGTATATTGGTAAAATTTTTTCTATTGATTTAATTGATGTTTTTGTCCTTTAAAGTAAGTGTGTTACATTTTGAAAAAATTGTTGTGATCTCAATTTTAAAAATAAATTGTAATGTTTTAACATTGATGAATATTTTATCAAGTTTAGAAATACTTGCATATTTTATAATATGAATACCTTTGAATAACCTTTTTTATGAACGGTTTACTTAGAATAAAAAACTCGGTCTTTTATAGTTTGGTCTTGCTTAGTAATTTCTGTTTATGTGGAGTAATCAAAAATACATGATCTCATATTTATATATGAAAAAAAAATTTAGGGAGGTTTTTTATAATGAGATAAAACAAAAAGCAAAATAAATATGTCCCTTAATATAAAAAGTATCTCCCTTACCCTACTTGTAGTATTTATTTGAAATTAATTTAATTGGTATAAATAATTAGCATTATTTTTATTCTTTTATTTATCATTCATATTTTACCATAATTTTTATTGATATTAAATATTTTATAAATGTAGGTAATTGAAGAATATTTATGCTACGTCGACAAAATACCCAGTGAAAGTGATTTAGATTGGAAATGTCCTAATTTAGAAGCCTTTCAGGTTTGTTATAAAATATTGACTACTGATGTTATTAATGTTCATTGATTATTATGGTTGTATATTTGTTGTCAAAAGATTAGGAAAAAAACTCAATTGAATTGAAATGTACGTATGGACCTTAATTGCAATTGCTTATGTCTTTGTTTTGTCTTATTTTTTTAAAGAAGAGAAATATTTTATTAATACTAAGATCAGGTTTTGCATAATACAATAATTTAGAAGATATCAGTTGATGTTCAATGAAAATCTATAAAAATATGATTCTGTAAAAAAAAAAAAGCTTTTGTGAAAATTCATTCTATACTGTTATGTTCTTTCTAAGTTTTTTTTTTCTGTATGGAAACAAACAAACTCAAACAATTTGTAATTAAAAAGATCCCTTTTATGAACATATTTATCTCAAAGTTTATATTCAATCATTTTGTTAATTAAGTCTTTTTTGCATGCTTTAAAATATTGGTTTTGTTTATCTTGATATTTGGCAAGAGTAAGATACATTATATTTTTAAATTCAATCTTAGATTGTGGTAATGAGCTATAAAACTAGTCCTGTTAATTACATAGTCCTGACTTATTACATGACATGTTAATTACATAATCCTGACTTATGACTTATTACATGACATGTTAATTACATAGTCCTGACTTATGACTTATTACCTGAGTTAATTACATAGTCCCAAATACTAGTCCTGTTAATTACATAGAGAGTAATTTTATTTAAGCATGCCAAAAGTATGTAGAATTATTTATTTAAACATATACAGTCTATATTTAGTTGGAAACTTACGTGCAATAAGTACTATTAATTTATTCTAACAAAATAATTAAATTATTAAAAAAATAGCCATTTTATTTCTTCTTTAAAGATTTCTAAAATTTATTCATTCTTTTTGACAAAATTTCATGCTCGTGTGTAGTGTTATTTTTTCAAAAATGTGAAGCTTTTAATAAAAATTAAATTTTTTAATGAAACTATTAGTTTTTTAATTATGTTATAAATTATGACATTTTATTGTTCACATTGTTGTAGCGCTGAAATTTTTTATTAAGCATTAAATCAAAGCATACAAGTCTTACTTATTGATTAAAAGGATATCTTTAAGAATACTAGTTTCAGAGATTTTTTTGTGGTATTAATTCATTAGTGTTTAGTTAAAGCATTATGATGTATTTCTTCATTATTAAATGTATAAAATCAGATTTGAAGATGTTTGGGGAAATATAATACTTTACCTTTGAAAGCTCTGTAGTTACTGAGAGAACCCAGAAAAGATAAGAATTAGAGCTTTGACTCATAAGGCTTCTATTAACAAAAATGCCAGAATATTTAAATATTTACTGTATTTAAAAAATAGTTAATTTTTCATAGCCCTATAAAAGTTGGACTTGGAAAAAATTTGTTAAAAGCTAAAACTTATTTTAATTATATTTTACATCTAATTGAAGAGATTTTATATTTGTCCCATTTTACATAGTGAACTTTATCTTTGACACCTGATATTTTGCACATAGCACATAATAGTGGTATGTTGTATTTCCTTTTTTTTTTTACTCTTAGAATTTAAAGGTGCCTTGTACTTTAAACAAATACATCCTAAAAATAATGAGTACATTTTACATCAATTGATTTCAAAACTCTAGAATTTTGTACTTATTGTAATAGTAACTTATAAAAATAATAATTTTATAACAATATAAAATAAATCTCTAGATAGCATAATTTCAAAACTAAATCTTGCTTAACCAAGTAACTGTCAGTATTCATCTGAACTAGTCTAGGTAATATTGTAATATAAGGAATTAATAATGATCTAAGACTAATTCAAGGAATAAATTGCTACTTTCAAACTTAGTTCTTGGTCTTAAGTCACTCGTCAGATTAATATTAATCAGTGAATTCATTGATTCTAAATTAATTAATTTTTAAAACTGATTCAAAGGTGTTGAGAGCTGAAGATTGATACAAATTTTATTTCATTTCTTCACAGGTATTATTTAAGGCATGAAATCTCAGTTCTAAAGGTACTGGCCAGACTAAAATCCTACAATAAATACAATTTTTAAAATGACAGATGTTGCTCACCACTAATTTTACATAAAATATGAACAATTTTTAAAATGACAGATGTTGTTTAAAGAACTTTTTGATGATCAAGACCATAAAAGAATATACAAACAAATTTTTTTTCAACAAGAAAAACAAATTATTTTAAAGGTTGTCAAAGTTTCAATGGTTCGAATATCACCCACATATCATTAAGAACCTATGAAATAAGAAAAAGCAGAATATAAAAATATCAGATATATTCTTACTATTGTAACACTTTGTATATGCATACCAGTGCCTTTTTTCACTAAAATACCATTGGAGAATTTCATTGCTTCAGTAAAACTCTTTTAAGGGAGAATGCTTAAAAATCCTGAGCAAATCATTTCATGCTGTCTTCATTCTATTATGACGGTTAAAGCTTCTTCCACAGGAAGCTCTGCAGAATATCTAGTTTAGTAGAATACCACAAAATTATATAATTTGTAGAAAATTAGGAAATCTTTGCCAAACACTTTTTACATATAACTTCTTTGGAATCTGAGTCAATATTAGCTAAGCAAAGTTAGTTCTGCTTGTTTTGCCAATGCAGCATCCATTTCATTAAAGATGTTTGTGTTTGAATACATGAAGATGATATCTCATCTATACCAAATTAATAATTTTTTGTGACCTAAACATGCAAAGATGATAATATATCTGTTAACATGCATTGCAGTCTTTCTATGATTTTTTTATTTTTTATCTTGGAATGTTTTAAAGTCTGAAACTCTTTCTTCCTATTTTTAATATTTGTCAGTTGCACATATTTCATCCAACTGGCTAGTGAAAATTTTGTGCCCCCTGATTATTTATAATGAGTGTCTTTTTGTTGAATGCATTTTCATGTTTATTAAATTAGACAAATTGTAATTAAATAGCTTTTCTTTTTAACTTGAAAAATTATAAAGAATTTCTTTAAATAGCTATTGTAAAACTAATTTAACTATTGTAAAATTAATTTTTAATTTTTTTCACATGAAATTTTTTAAAATTATTTTAACAAAAATTGCAAGCCATTTCTTTATGTGTTAATTTAAGATGGTGAAAATTTCTTTTATATTTTAGTTTACTTAAATTGAATGATTTTTAAATAAATTTAAAATAAGAAAATTCATTTTTGATTCCCAAAATATTTTTGTCTGAACTGAAGTATATCTTTATTGAAAATGACAATAATAAACTAAGAGTGTTATTTTTTTGTAATTTTATTGTTAAATTGTTTAAATGTTTGTAATTTTATTTTAGATTTAAATCAACTGTACAAACAATCTTTAAAAGCATGGAAATTTTAATCTCTAATTTCTTCAATAAGTTGAGATCTAAATGAAGATTAATATGCATTTTATTTTAAAAGTATCAGGTTTTTGAAACTCATACTCAGTTATGTCAGTTTGTACTTGATACCGAAAAATTGGCACTTTTCCATTTTTACTCCATAGTATTGCTACATAAAATACTTATTCATCATTAACAGATTGTGGAACATACAAACTAAATTGCAATTTATTTTGTTCTTTAAAAATAATACAGTGTTTAATACCATTTAATAACCACTACTTACTAGATTGTAATATTTTAAATTCAAATTTTATATAGTTTGGAACGTTATTTATATCGAGTCATACATTTTTGATTATTCTTTAAGAATAAACTTTAAAATTTACTCTTAGAAATGTATAAATGATGTTCTTACCTTCTTTGCATATTATTTATTTTAGGAAAAAGCATTTACTTTATGGAATTTTACACCAGAAAATAGTTCAGAAAAATGTTTACCAGTTATTACTGCTTGGCATCAGTTTCAACTTATAAATCTAGTTCCTGATAAAGTGCCAAAATTATGGATAGAACCGTCAAAGTAAGAAATTATTTGTAATGCTATATCAGAAAATAATACTTGATTTATGTTTAAAAAATTAATAGTTAATGAACGTTATGATATGCAGGTAATTGTAGAACTCTTAAAAGGTTTTTTTGATTTCTGTTAAGTAAACTATTGAAGGTTGAACTCCTTTATAGATTTCAAAATTGAAATACTATTTGAAAAACTGGTTTGCTTCCAGTTGAATAAAAATTCATTTAATTTGAAGTATAATTGTCAAATATTGTTAAAATAATGCTGAAAATGGCTTTCATTCAACTTTTTTTTATGTGTGTGTATATATTTATATACATATAAAAAGGAGGGAAAGAAAGAAAAAAACTTCTTTTTTTAGAGTGTTGCCAAAATTCTTTTGATTTATTTTCTAGTTGTTTTAAATATACTAAGTGTGAAATTTCATTGTTGTTGTTTTTTATCTATAAAGTCTATAGTTCCTTCCAAAATTTTTAAATTTTTTCTGTAAAATTTGATTTTAAAGCTGCTGTCAAAAGAACTATAAACATGATTGCATACTATGTTAATATTTTTTAAACTATAACTTTTTGAAACCTGTCATTGGGGGCAAGCTCAAATAGTCCAAGGAATTGTATTTGGATGACTAAGAAATAATTTTTTTTTTTAAAGAGCCAAATAAAAAGTGCGTTTTTTTTAAAAAGTTTCTTAAATAGTTTAATAATATAAAAAAGTTAATTTTTTACAAATTTTATTTAACAACAAAATTTAGCAATTGTTTTTTGTTTAACTTATTTTGTTTATTTATTATAACTTGGCATACTTATTATTTTTAGTGCTGAAATTTAAAGCTTGCATTTGTGTTAGGTTTAACTTTTTTTGTTTGTTTATTATATATCTTGGCATACTTATTATTTTTAGTGCTGAAATTTAAAACTTACATGTGATCCAAAATTATATTCATTAATTTTAGAATAATTAAAGAAAGAACTGTGAAAGGAGAAGATTGTATTGAAGTTCAATGGAAGAGATTGTGTAAGTTTTTTTTCCTCCATCATTTTTTTAAACAATAACATTTAGGAATCGATATGTTAAAAGTTACACATTATTTAATAATCGATATGTTAAAAGTTTCAATTCTCTGTAGGTAAGGAAAAATATTTAAAAAGTTTTTAAGTTATCAAGGATATGGTAAGAAAGAAAATTTTACTACAAGTACTTTGCTATACAGAAAATACAGTTTATGATTCATGAGTATTTGTGTACTGTGTGTGTGTAATATATATATATTGTCTTGCTCAATATATTGACTACTGTGCTCCAATCAATGACGAATGTTGTAACATAACATTGTTGTATCCTGAATACACAAAATTATTGCATATATTAGTTATGACCCATGCATACTTGACTTCTTTTTGTAAAAATATGTTATACATTAAAAAGAATTCTAAAACAGACAGTTTGTTTGACAGCAGTGTAGTTTATTAAATCTTAATAAAGTACAAGTACTGTGCAATATAATACTTTAAAGATTATTATAAATTTAAATTTTTTTTCAAGTTATTTCTTTTAAAATTTTGCATTAATATTGTATGTAATTTAACATTATCATTTGATGTTGCTTTCTGAGTTTTGAAGTTTCTCTTCAATAGAATGATGGCATGAAATCAGAGCACTTTATTCTTCTGCCTGTGGAATTTCATTGTGAATTTTAATTATTTTAATCAAATGTCTATTCAGAATCTCTAGAATATTTAAGCAATTTGTAATTTTGACTTTACTTTTCAGTCCTTTTCCTAATTTTTAATTCCCATTTTAAGCATATAGCGTTATGCTTGTAGGAGCAGCCACTGTCGCTTAATAGCATATGTCCAACAAATGGAAAAATGATTGCAAAAGCAATTCAATGATGAGAACAAATGAGAAGAATTTCGAACAGGAATAATCTGATTGCTTGAACGCTTTGAAAAGAAATTTACTTATGTTATAGGTGCAAAAGAAGACTTTGATTAAACTTTTTTTTGATGGATTTCGATTTTTGACCCTCAAAATAGTGGAGAATTTTTTTTAAGGAGCATGGTCCCTCATTTTGGGAAGCATAGTCCCAATAGTTTGGTCAGAAGAGCGGTCCACAGCTTGGACCCCTTTTCTTGATTTTACTTCTAGCGCATTTCACCATATCATGAGTATGTTTTAAGCAAATTGAAAAATGTTTGACATAATTATAAAATTTGTTTATTCAAAGGTATTTAGATGCAAAAAAATTTTTTTAAATAAGTATTTATTATTTTTTATTTGTCAAAAAAGTAATAAAAAAGTAATAGCTGCTTAACATAATTTTTGCATTATTGTTTCTGGCTGTTTTTTAATAGTAATTTAAAGAATGTTCTATAACTTTTTAGTCTTAGCTTTCAGTTGTTCAAAAAAATAATCCATGCTATATGTATAACTGTAAAATGGTAGATATGTTATAATTTGAGTTTTTTGTCCAATTTTAAACTTTGAATCCTGTAATAATTTGCAAATTGTGGTTAACTCTTTTCAATGTTTTTTTAAATTTTTTTTTATAGATTCAGATGAAACAACCCCTGACTTTGGAGAAACTTATTCTACTGTTGAATTTGTTGACAGATTTTCCAAGGCTTATCCTCAAGTTACTGATGAGTTTTTCAATTCCTTAAAACAAAATAAATGTAAGAGTCTATCAAATATTTAATGCATGTTTAATTTTCTGAGACCATGTTTATATGCAGTTTTAATGGTGTTGCACCATTACTAGAAAAACTTCTGGGCTAATTGACTAAAAAATCTCAAAATATTAAGCTTTTAACTCTAAATAATATCAAGGAATTTTATATGATGATTACGAAGAATGCAACGTTTGTACCAACATTAGCAATTCATTATTTTTTAATGCAGTTTGTGATATTCTGTTATTTTATCATTGTGTTACTTTACTTTTTTTTTTAAACTGAAATATTACTAATAGCATATCTGATAATCGAAAAATCCACTTTTATATATAAATTAAAAATAGAACCAAACTATTTAATTAGAAATCAATGTTAAATTTCCCTATTTATAGAATTATTTGTATTTTTCACCCCTCACTTAATTGCTAAGAAAAGAGAGAGAAAATTGTTAAAGAAATGTTTCCTCAGCTAGAATGGAATTTCTGTGTTTTAGTTAAAAATATGAGAATACAATATGTAATCAGGGTCACTCCAATAGAGACTTCCTTCCATCCTGAAGTTTTTTTTCTCCAGTTTTTGATGATTTTCGGCATAATTTCTTCTAATGGTAGTAAAGTTTATGTTTTAGTACATTATTCTTTGTTTTGCAAATTTTCTTTAAAGTTATTTTCCCCGTTGTTAAAAATTTAAAAATGATGTGCCACTTTGTTCCAGCTCTGTCATGGAGGGGCATCTAAAATGTTGACAAATCTACCAAGATTCTGCAGACATTAGTTATTTTTTCACTCACTACTCTATAAAATATTTTGCAGAAAGTCTAGCATTTGACATCAAGGAGCATCTAAAATGTTGGCAAAATTACAAAAAACTCTGCAGACATTAGTTATTTTTCTTTCACTCTATAAAATACTTTGCAAAAAGTAGTTGTTGGCAGTTCTGGACAAAGGAGTTTTTCCCCCCTCTTTGTCATATTTTTCTCACAAAATTTTTAAAATGTAGGAAGCTATGAAGTGGAAAAATGTTTAGTTAAAATGAAATGTTCTGTTGAGTTAATGCTCAGCTATAAATAAAATGAAAAGTATTATATTCATATAAATTGATATTTGATATAAATTGTGTATATTATATTTATTATTAGCATAGGTTTATTTTTATATAAATTAATTTTTTTTAAATATTTTATGTCCTTAACACTAACGATTCTTATTATTCATCATGAATAATTTGCTTATTTGGATACAGTTGGCTTAAACTTATTACATTCCTTTAAGAGAGGTTGATTGTATATGACAGTGGTTCGCAAATGATGTTCCATGGAACCCTAGGGCTCTGTGGAAGGGTTCGAAGAGTTTGAATTTTTAGATCAGTAATGGTCTTTGAAATCTGTTATTTTATTTATTTCTAAACAATAAATCATAATTTATTTAATATTTTGGTTATTTTTTATGAAATTTAAGTAAAATGCCAGTAAAAAAATTAATTGCAAAACTTATAAAAAAATTGCATTAATATTTCTCATTGAACTTTTCAGTTCAAAATAAAATAACCATATTCAAGAATAACAAATTATGTTTAGCTCATAACTATTTTCAAGGTTTATAAGAATTCTTTTTCAAAAACTATATTTCAGTTTATTTTATTAATTTTTGCAAATGTAAATTAAAAACTAGACTAGGCACCATTGCAGGCCTGCAAATGCAGCTGCTTGACATAAAACCTATTTTATTTGTTAAAACCTATTTTTTTTTTTTTTTGATGAAACGATTGTTGAAAAAATTTTGTTCTTCACTCTAAATATTATCAAAATAGCTAGTAGTCTTTCTTAGATTGGTATGTTCATAGTGGCTAATTAATTTTATTTATTTATTTGTAAAACTGCCAAAAAGATGCTCAATCTATTAGGGGTTCTATAGCCGTAAAAAATAGGGAACTGCTGGCATATTAGACCAAATGGCACATTTTTTTATTTGTATGGTACAGGACAGGATTGATGATGAGCCACTATAACAGGTCAAATTCCAAAAAAATTGAAAAGTAATATACAAAACTTCCATGTCTACTGTTATGTGGGTTTCATAAATTTAATTTCTAAAAAAATCTGTAAAGAAATTTTTTCTTTCTGAAATCTCTAAAGTCACTGTGTTCTTAATTTTCATGATCAAGCAAAATTTGGTCATATTTTAAATAGAAAACAATCTGCTGCTCTGCATTTTTTTCAAACATTGTGATACAGAATTAATGTTGTTTAAACAAATAATAAGTAGGATTTACAAGTAAAAAAGCAAATTTGCAATGTATGAACTTTTAAATTTTATTCTCATTTTTAATTGTTTATTATTTCTGTTACTTTTTTATGGAGGATGTATGCATTAAATTAATTTTTTAATAAAAATTTACGAAACATGACTTCAATGGAAACAAATTTTTTTTTAAATGATATTATTGTTATCCTTCAAACAGTATTAAGGGATTTCCACTTAGTATTTATTCTGCTCAAATTTTAGAATAAATTTATTATACTGAACAATTATTCCTAAATTTTATCTTTGGTTTTGAAATATTATTTTTGAAGATTTTATATTATTTTAACTTTTCATTTCAAATTATTTACAATTTTCTAAAGGATAGTCTTTAACTTTGAGTTAAATTGTGGCATTCATAATTAATATAGTAAAATTATATAAATGTACTAAATAAAAAATGCTAGCTTTTTTTTTTTAAATTCAAGTATTTTTTGTAAATTCAAGTATCCAGGTATTTATCATTTACTTCTGTGTTGTACATTTTTATAACATGTCAGTTTAAAGAATTAAATGTTCAATTTGGGACCCCATTTTTCCCGGAGAGCACACAGGTTTTCAATGAGGCCTTGGACCCAGGTTAAGTAAGAAATAAAAAGCCTTTGCTACTATGTATGCTTTGTTCTCAGGCTTTATTATCTTTGTTTTAACTATACTGTTAAACTGGAATTTGTTAAAGATGCACTTATAAACGTTTGCAAATATTGTTCTTGTTATAACACTGATTTAAATTGCATAATATTTTCTATATTCTCATTTTTATCCTTAATTAATTAGTTTGTAATACATTTTTAGTGAAATCATCTACTAAGCCAAGGTCAAAAGCTAAGAATGATTTACAAGCTGATGACTCTTTGAAGGTAATATCTATATCTGAACCCATATCTGTATTTCCTTCAAACACTAATAAAGCCATTGTTCCACAAGTATTAAGCACATATGAAAAATTAGACAATTCTGAATGTAGCTTTAGTGAGCTTCCATTGCTAGAACGAATAAAAATTTTAACTATAGATGAAGAAAGAAGAGATGTTGCTTCTTCAGAAAAGCAGAATAACGAAAATATTTTAAATATGAGCAAAGAATCTAATTGTTTGTTTCCATTTAATCTTGAAACTGATTCCTCTGCTGGGATTCACTCCGCAGAACCTGAAAAACATTTATTATCTGATAGTAACTATGGTTTTACAAATCAAAAAACTGATTTGTGTTTGAATTTTGATGATTCTGATAGTTTCATTGAAACACTGAATCCAAAAAGTGAAGAAATGGACATTACTTCCAAACGTTCTAGTATTCTAGTAAATACTTCTAGTTCCTCTTTACCTTCAATTCCTAATATGAGCCAGATTTATAAGCAAGAGATAGGAAAAGAAACTCTTGAAAATTCTGTTTCGTTTCTTACACATTTAATAACTCAAGGCAATAATTCTCTTTGTCTGGAGTTTACAGATTCAGAACAAAGTTTTTCTATGATCCTAAAAGAAGATACTAGTCATGAACAATCACATAATATATCAAAAAAGAGTATTTGTAAAAAGGAAATTTTGACGCCATTTTCAAATAAAATAGTCAAGTCAGATAAAGAAAATATTTTTCCTGGCAATTTTAGTCCAGTTTCTAACTTTGAGAAGTCTATCAATGTAATAAATAACATGAGTCCAAAACCTCTCTATTCAGTTAAACAATCCCCTTTTTATAAAAGATACGAAAAGGCAAAATTTTCTAATTGTAAATCTATTGTGAATAGTACTCCTTATGACAAGTTTCTTTGTTTAAAAAGTGCTTTAACACCAAAACTTTTGGAGACATCTAATATAATACAAAGCAATGATCAGCTTTTTGAACCACTGATTTTTGATAGTAGTTTAGAGGAATCTATTTACTAACAATTGATAGTATAGCATATGAAACAAATAGATCTGTTATTATCTATTAAGCTGCTTTAGGAGTATTTTAACTTTATTTAGAGCTTGTATATTTACTCTGCAACTGTCGCATTATTTAGGATAATTTTTACAAAATTTCTCTACCCTGGACTTAACTGTTTGTATATTATAGTAGATATTTATGTATATATTTATAAAAAATATTTTCATACACATTAAATATATGTTCCTGTATGTATTATAGAGTTATTATGTATATATATTCATTTTAGATATGAGGTTCTTTTATTTGCTTGTAATGTTCTGTATATCAGAGATTTTTTTGCTTTTTACCCTTTTCTGTATGAAAATTTTCCTGCCCCTGGTGCTTTAAATTAGGATTTTTTTAATATGATTTATTAAGAGATCAGTTGCTATTTAATTTTGTAAAATTATAACTTTTGTCTATTAAACTGAGGTTTCTTAAGGGAGCTTTGTTATGCTAGTATTTCATATTTATATTAACAGTTTTATTTATATGTTGTACTCCTTAAAAATAATTCTTAGGTAATTAAATAATTGTTGCTTTCAAGCAAGAAAATTGTAAAGTTTTATTTAATTATAAAAGATAAGATAGATCAAAGATGATTATAAAATTTTTCACGTTATATTTTCTAATCTGTGTATCTGTTAGAAATATGATATAGGTATCACTCCTCTTGTTGAAAAAAAAACTTTGTGTTATTATTATTGTATTAGATATACTTATCACCCTATAAATTAAATAAAAATATCATATTACTCAATAAATTGCTATGTACAGAATAGTCTCATTAAATGTCTTTCAAATGCATTATTTTAATATTTTTTTCTTTTTCTTCTGTTATGCAATAGCAGACCTTTATTATGTTATTTCTGATTATAAATATTTATGTTCTGATTTTTAAATTTCAATTAGATCCAGTATATATTTGAACATAAATTCTTTAAAAAGTTTGATTATTAGAAATAAATTATGTTAACTCATTCATTGGCTTTTGAAGAAACTGATTTGAAGGTATTATCTAGCTATTTATTTTTTTCTTTCTTTGTTTTTAACTTTCCATTTTATTATTTTGACTATTTTCATGGTGTTATTTATGTTTGATGATAAATTTTGTTGATATTATTCATTAATTTAGAAAAATTTACTTTTTAATTTCTACTTTACTCTCTCACGGTAAGTCCTTTACTACAATTGGCAAATAAGGAATTCAAAACGGACCCTACTTGTTTTTATCAAAATGTAGCGAACACTGAAATTTTTGTAAATTAATATTTTACTGAAAAAAACTTTTTTTTATCTTTAATTTATTACCTAAAATAAATATAAATATTTACATTACTGAAATAATGCAAATTTATACTGAATTAAACATAATGAAACACATATATTTTATGACAAGAGATAAGAATAAGGTATGAAAATATTTCATACCTTAATGAATATTTCAACATAAATTGAAATTAACTTAAGAATCAATTCTTGTACTTCTCTTCACGAATAGCTACTCTATGTTCTTTACAAGCATAGTTTTTATAAATTATGCAATACCTTTTTGTTTTTCTATATTTTTTCTCATTGTTTCACAAAGGGTGGATCTTCTCTTACATCCGCATTCATAGATCACTGAAGTCAACCATGACTGACAGTGGTTGGTGAGTGGGTGGGTGATAACTTAAATCAGTCTGTGAAAGGGCCAAGTGTGCCGAGTTTCCAAGTCCTCATTTAACTGTTTTATTGTAACGTGCTAAACTACTTGCATTGGCCGTTGAGCAATTAAAGAAGGGGAGTCATCCCTTTTGCAGAGGATTAGAATTGCTATGTTATGTCTCAAGAATGCTCCCCAGACCACTTCCAATAGGCTATTATGCACCTGTAGTGTGGCGTAAATAAATTACTATTTCTTCCACATTTAAAGCTCATTGCATCGATTGCCAAACCTGCAAAGTATTTGTACCCATCTGAATTTAAAATTTGTTTCATTTGTACCTTGTTTCATTACTATACTAACGTTATGAGTAGTTGCAAGGAATTTCTACAAACTATTTTTTTATCACACTACTCACTTCACTATGTTTTTTTTTTTTAAAAAAAAGTAATGCACTGCACTATAAACTATGAAAAAAAGCAGCGACTACACTATTTTCGCTACTTGTATCATAGTATATCCGATAACTGTTTAAGAGTTGTAAGTATTTGGCTGTTTTGTGCCTGTGGCAACTGAAAAATTTAATTCATACTTTCATGGCTTAGTTTATATGTGGACTCAAAATACGCATTTGAACCGAAAACTGTTGAGTTGTCACATGTTAAAAATCGTGGAAAAGAAATCTTGGAATTTTCAAACTTTAAAAAAAAACCTAACATCAAACTTGAAAATAATCTTTAGGGTGCTTAGACTTAAGTAGTACTTAAAGGTGCTTATTTTTGATTTTTTAAAAGCCCTTAACAGTGCTTTTTTTCATTGAGTGTTTTTATAAAGTGCTTAATTTTCCCAATTTCCAAAATGAGAGCTGTTTTTTTTCACAAGTAAATTTTTGCCACAAATTATGCAAAAAGCGTAGGTTTTCACATTGTTCTATTCAACATTTTCACAATTCCTTCAACCATTATCCATTTCGGCATATCGTCGGTTCGCCGGTTCATACATTTATTTAAATTAGGAAAATGTGCATAAATTCTATGCAAACTTTCTAAGTGCTTAAAATTTTAAAGATTAAAATTTATTATTTTATTTTACTTGTCTAAAAAATTATAATTGTTACAATGTTGAAGTATAATGATTAACAAGTATAGTGATAAAAAAGATACTGGGTTTAAAATGAGATAAAAATTTCTTTGCAAAATAGCTAAAATCTGAAGAAAAATAAACTTGAATAAAATTCTAGAAGCTTTGTCATTTTAATTTGTATACAAATTTTAAAATTTCATCTTAAAACAAGATTTCTAGCAAGTTTAGAACTCAAAATTACGTACTTTTTCTTGCTAAATTCCTATTTCTTTGTGGCACAGAAGTGTTGTTTTTTACTTTGTTTGAGAAGTACTTTTTCCAACTGCATAGGTAGAACCAATCTTTAACTTTAATAAAAAAAATTTAAAAATTGACATCGCGATTCTTGTCACGATTTTTTAGTGAATTTTTTTCTTTAAGGAATATGATAATTTGCTTTAGCAAAGTAGCAAAATTGTTTTCAATTTCAGTATTTTTAGATGGTCTTTGTTTCGAATTTTGCTAAAACTATCGCCGAAATTAGCTTTGGGAAGAGAGCTTAATTTTAAAAAAAAATGCCAATCATTCCAGTTTTTTACATACGTATTAATATATATATATATATTTGTGTATTTTATTATTTCATGCATACCAGATGACACAATTCCTTGTCTCTCGTCCCAAATCTGTTAAGGAAAGATTCTCCCCATACACTTCTCCATCTTGAGGGAAAGTCTAAACAAAACAGAAATGAAGTTACTGGTGAGCCTTCTGTGAAAAAACTTTGTTCCTGATTTGCTTTTCGTTATCAATATCTTATTATTCATTTCATATATTATTTATCTTATTATTCATATATTATCTTAGATCTTATTATTCATTTTAAATCGTAAATATTATCTTCATTTTATTTGTTTTCAAACAAAAATTCCATTTTTGTGGAGGGAGATTTTTAGTGCTAATTCTAATTGATAGAAATTAATGTAGCAAAATTTTTATTTTTTGCATGTTATTTGTGTTTAATCTTAAAATTATATTATTATTTTCATGCCTTTTGCAATTTGAAATTAAAGTTTTTATAAAATTATATATATTTTTGTACTTAATATATTGTTTATTACATAATTTTATCTCTTTAACTATATTTAAATACATATTATACTGTTTTGTGTTCATCTGATTCATTGTACAAATCATTTGATTCACACTCAACCATGTTTGTTATTAGAATTACAATCTGTAATTTTAAATAAATATATTATTTAAACTTATGTGACTGTTTTAATTATAAAGAAATTTTATACGGTATATGTCACTCTCTTATTAATATTCATTCATTTAAAGAAAGACATTGATTATTTATGTATTTTTTCAAAATATAAATTGGACTTTTACAATATATAGGTACAATTGCTTATCGGATAATGGAATAACCCACTTATATGAATAAAAGGTATTATAACCAAATCATTTTATATTATACTAATGTTAAATTTTCTTTTTTTAAACAGTTATTTGTATTCCCTTTCCTCGCTTATTTGAATAAAAAAGAGATACTGAAATGAAAGAAAAATAATTTGTTTTTTAAAAATGTTTCACCAATTAGAATGAAATTTCAGTTAAGAAGAAAAGAATACAATTGGTGGTCACTTCAATGAGGCTTCTTGTTCATTTTTTGCTTTAAACAGGTGTTAGGGATATAGTTTCGGAATTAATCCAATTTTGCTAGCAGTTATACTTTTGAGTAAACTCAGGGGGTTTTACCCCTGTTTGACTTACTTCACTCATACATCATTTGGCAAAAAGAAAGGTACTGAGTGATTTGTTTTGCAGTCAAGACTTGAGGTTCCCTCCTGGTGCACTATTAGCTTTGAAAACTTTTAAAAACCTGCTTACACACTAGTGTACAGTGTGTCTTTCTCTAAACGAGAATAATTATAGCTTACTCCAATGAATAACTGATGGAGTGAGTTGATTTCATGACAAGCACAAAAAGGAATGATTTGAGTTTATGGAAGATAAAAAAAGTAACACATTTCAAAAAATCACAAACTGAAATAGCTAACAAAATTAGAATTTCTCAAGTTTCAATGATGAAAAATGAGAAAATCGAATTTCGATTAATTGACGAATCAATCAGGTATGAAAACAGTCTTCAATTACTGATTATTTGGAACAAAATAATATTATGGTCCCTTATACTTGTCATTAAAATTAATTTAGTTTTATGTTACTTTAAATATAGAGATTTATGATATATTAACAGCTTTAATAACAATTGTTAATTGATCATAATATTGAGTTAATTTAATTAAAGCATACTATGCATTTTATACCATTAAAAAGTAAAATTTTTAAAAAAAATTAACATTTAAGAATTGCTTATTGACCCCCCCCCCCNCCCCCCCCCCCCCAATTAATTGAATAGAGTTGGCTGAAACCTATGGTATCCCTCTACGCGGGGTCGATTGTAGATGTCTTTCTCATTAGGTATTTTGATACTTAAAATTACTGCAAAGGTGTAAAATTAAATATAGAGTTCATAAATTCAGTATTGGTGAGTAAAAGTATCAAGAATTTTTGAGACTGTAATTTTAAATAATGTTGGAAAAGAATTGATTGTTTCAATTTGTAAAAAAATTTCTGCAATCTTTTTTTTTTTATTATAAAAAAAATTGTAAAAAGGTGTTTTTGTTCAAATTTGGAAATAAAAATTCCTCGCTAATGGTGTGAAAACTGTGATAATCTTATGTTTTTGTCATGACCAATAGTTCGAATAAATGTGTAAAAAAAGTTTCTGCAATTGTACCAAAATCACAGTTTATATTTAAGTTTTTTTCTTAATTAAAATATAATTTATGTATGTAAATGTTCTTGAGTAAATATCAAAATCTGATGCATGATTAATGAGATGAAGATAGAGAAATCAGAACCAATTTGTTGACAAAGGAATTCTAACCAGAATGAAAATTGACCATGCAATATTTGCGACACCTTCATGAAATTAACAAGGTGAACAGAGAATGGATACATCTCCACGAAAACGCTCAGCTGCACGCATCGTACGAAACATTGGCGAAATTAAATGTATTAAAAATTGGGCATCCAGCTTATTCACCAAATCTTTCGCTTACCAACTTAAATAATTTTTTATTTTTTTGTATATCTTTAACAGTTTTTACGGGCTAAACAGGAGGAAAATGAAGACAGTCTAAAAAATTTGATATCGGAGTTAATTAATCCTAAGGATCAGAATTCCTTCAAGACAGGCATCTATGTTTTAGAAGCTCGTTGTTAAAAGTATATACTGAAACAAATGCAGCATACTTTGATTAAATAAACAGCTTTTAAAAAAAGACATACAGTTAGATATATTCACTTAAAATCCCGACATTTGATAAGCGCCAAACTAATATATTTGTCTTTTATTCATAAAAAACTAAAGACATTTTATTCATTTTGTCTTTTGTTCAACAAAAATAAATGTTTTTAATTTCAAAGAGGCACCAAAATTGACGAAAAAAGGCGTTGTTAGACAAAACTATTAGAAAATGCTGTAAGCAGGTTATAGATTTGGTAATGTTTAAAGCTAGCTTTGCCGCAAGTATTAGTAAGCCAATTTTCTTATCTCTTGTTTTCTTTCTCTTTTTTTTCTCAAAAAATTCAGTGACTAATTATATGAACCACAGAATGTTTTAAATTCTCGCATTCTCTGAATGGTTTTTTTTTCTTTTGAAAATAAAAAATTTAGAATTTTATTTATTCAGCAAATAATTAAAAAAAATATTAAGTAAAGTAAAATGTTCGAACGATAACGAACTTAATTTATTGTTTTTCCAGTAATGAAATTAAAACTCACAAAAATATTTGAATTTTAGAAAATACTAAGAGTTCGTAATAACTGAAAATATAATGAATAAACATGAAACCTTGAAAATTAAATATAAAAATATAGTTAAAACAATTAATTTTTATAAATGTTATGAAAAAAATAGTCTGTACTAAAATCGAGCTTTTCATCTAAAATTTTTCGGTAGGGCTATAAAAAAAAACTTTTATGGTTGGAGCTCAATTAGTAAAGAATATATATTTTTGATTGATGATATTTTATATTTTTAATAACTTATACAGATTCTCACACATTACAAGCCAAATCACTACCTATAGATTGTTATATATTTGTTATAAAAATTGATACATTTGTTCGATGATTATATGATTTATTAGAAAAATTTATGCCACATTGCAATATATTACTAGCTTACTTTCATTTAAATACCAGCTGAATGATGTTAAAAAAAATCTATAAATCTGAACCGGAATAACATTACAAATTCATACACAAAACTGAAAAAATAAATGCCAAACACAATGAATAAAACTAAAATAATTTATTTTTTATTTTCATAATTTGTCCTCCCCGCAAACTTCACGTTAAAGATTAAACAACACACATTTTTAGTAGCTCATCCCATCGAAATAGAGATTATTTGTATTCAGTATCAATTGGAATAATGTTGCTTGAGGTCTATCCGTGATAATCAAAATTTACCACACAATCAATTATCGTAATTTCAGAAATGCTTATTAACAAAGCATTATAGCAGTAATAGCATAACGATTTTTAGCGTTTCTCCGA